ACATCTCTTTCCAAACAAAGAGGCGGCAGGACATCCAGCCAAAGGATTGAGTACAGGAGGCTGTGTGGTCTGGTGGTTCCAGGGAGGGACGTGGGGCCAGAGCTTCCTGGGTTCAGCTACCAGCCGAGACTCTGACTCAGGGGGAGCAGAGCCAAGTCTCTTGGCTTGAGGCAGATAGACTGTAAAACCCAGGAGAGAGAAAACCACAGGTCTGTGCTCAAGGACTCTGGGGGAAAAGCACATTTTGGAAATTAAAAAAAAAAAAGATTACACTGTTAAGTTACAATTTGGGAGTTTTTCAACAAGAAACGAGCATTTTTCCTGCTTATTGCCTGACACGTCCTCCTCTGGGCAGCAATGTGAAGCCAAGCCAGTGTCTGAGGGTGTTCTGTGTGGGATGAATAGAGAAGCACGGGGGTCTGAGCAAAGTCAGTCAGCCTTGGTGAGTTGTCACAGTAATGCTCAGGAAGCCCAACACTGAGGGCAAAGAGGTTCTCCTGAATTTCTCCCTTTTCTTACTCACTCTGCCTTCCACAATAAAATGCCCTCTGACATTGTAGGACGAAAACCCCCTTCCCTCAGATGTCTGGATGCTTCCCTTCGACCAATTTGAGCAGAGATTTGCTCAGCTATAAACCCGCACAGGTTCCCGAGTGTCAGCCAGAGCGGGGGCTGATGGGAAATGCTCTCCAAGTTCCACCAGCTCTGAACTGATTCTTCTAACCAGACACAGTAGGTGGCTACTTACATGGTTGGGTCTGAAGGGTCCACTGGGCAGGTCTCCCCTCCCCAGCATCATGCCTCATTTCTCTGGGCCTGAAAAGTCTTCTGATCTTTAGTAATATCCCATTAAAATGAAAAGAATATTTTTTTACATGCATGTATTTTTTAATCAAGATAAAATATACCAGAAGTTTCCTCTAAGTTATAGAACTCTCAGTGCTTTTTAGTCACTTTTTAAATACTTTTCTATTTTTCCAAATTACTTAATGTATGTTGGCATTACTTTTGTTTATTTAAATAGATTAAAAATTACCATCAGTTATGTTAAAAAAACATTGCTACCATCATGATCATTATTTCAAGGTTTACATATTCTTCTAATTTTTTCTAACTTAACATCTAAGTGCAATAAGCCTAATGGTATATTTACACAATGGAATACTATGTGGCCATAAAAAAGAAAGAAATCTTACCTTTTGTGACAGCATGGATGGACCTGGAGATTTTTATGGTAAGTAAATAAGCCAGCCAGAGAAAGACAAATACCATATGATCTCACTTATATGTGGAATCTAATGAACAAACTAAACTGGTGAACAAAATAGAAACAGAGATAGGGAGAGATAGAACAGACTAACAGATATGGAGGGGAGGGGAGGGGTGAAGGAAAGACTGGATAAAAGATGAAGGGATTGGCCAAAGAACATTTATGTGTAACTCACAGCCACAGACAACAGTGTGGTGATGGCTGGGGGAACGGGGTGTGGGGACTGAATGGAGGTGGGCAAAGGGGAGGAACGTGGGGACATCTGTAATAGTGTGAACAATAAAAATAAACAAAAATGTAAATAAAACACTTTCAAGGGAGAAAAATGATGAATGTTATGGTAGTCTAGAAAATGAAAACAATATTATTTATAGAGCTCTCTGTATTTAAGTCTCACCTCCCAGCACTGGAGTAAACAATACCATATTTGGGGTATTGTTTACCCCAATGCCATACAAATGGAACAGGGGATGAAGGAGGGACAGGTTTTGGTGTGGAATGACGTTGGGGCACGGGGAGTGGTAGTCTCTTCTCTAGAAGAGTTGAGAGAGACCAGGAGAGAGATCATAAATCCCAGAAGTGGAGGTGGCCTTCTGGGTCATTTTACCCATAGCTTTCCAGAGTGACTTGAAAATCTGGGTGTCACTCTGGCTGGTGTGGATCCGTGGATTAAGCATCAGCCTGAGGACTGAAAGGTTGCCAGATCGATTCCCAATAAGGGCAAATACCTGGGTTTTGGTCCAGGTCCCCAGGTGGGGGCGTGTGAGAGACAATTGATCAATGTTTCTCTCGCATGTCAATGTTTCTACTTTTCCTTCTCCCTCACTTCCCCTCTCCCTACAAATAAATAAATACAATCTTAAAAAAAATAAAATAAAATCTAGATGTTGGTGGATGTGAGGGTTGTACCACCCTGGTTGCTCTTACTCTAACCCAAGCAAGGCGAGATGGAATCTAGGGTTTTACTTGTGGTCGCCCTATACAGGCCCCAAATACACTCATGAAGCCGTTCCTCCCCACATTCGCCTCGGTGCCCCTACCTCGCCATTGGCTAAATAGCCAAGTTCAATGTCTCTTATCTCAAGCTTCTCTGTATTAAAATACAATAAGTTCTCTCTTCTTTTTCAATTGTATAACCATCCTTTGGTCACTTCTGTTGCACTCTAGAAAAAAATTAATAAAAAATTAAAAGTCTGCCCTTGCCCATAAAGGTACCCGAGGGAACATTGTTTATTCTATAAGAGTTCGTGAATTCTATCCTGAGTGAAAGAGAATAAAACCATGCATTGAGATTAGTAATCACATACTTCTCAGACTCTGGTTCCTCTATTTCTGACAATCCATTGTGGCCAACACACCATTTGCAAGGATCCCCTGGGCAGCCCATGGTCTAATAAACACATGCCTGAGAAGATGTAGAGACACCAGGTTGGGGTAGATTTCATGAGCTTTCAATCATCTTTTCTGGTCACGAGTGCCGCTGCTCCCTGTGGTCCTTGAGAGTCATCCTCTTACTCTCTGTCATACCTGGTCAGGCGAACACTACCCATGGAGAGTTTCTGGGGAAAAGGGTCTGAGTAGGAATGCAAACAGAGTCAGTGGAACTCCCCACGCAAAGTCCCTAGGTTTAGGGACTCCGAAGTGCGCACTGATATCTCATTGTTCAGCCGCCTCATCAGGTATGACCCCAGCCTCCTCCGCAGCTCCTGGCTGCAGCGGGTGAGCCTGGGGCCCGTCTCAGAAAGCTCTGCCTCCTTCTCCGGCAGGTTTCCATGTGGAAGAGGAAGGACAAGCACAGACTCCACAAATGAATATCCAGGCCTCCTCTGCCCCCTTCCTCACCCCCAGTCAGAGAATCTTGCTAAAGGGAGGGCTTTACAGTTGAAAGACTTTTACAGTGTCTCAGTTGAAATCTTTGTAATTATTTCTCTAGTATCTGCTTTTTTCCCTAGAATAAGAGATGAGTGTATATTCCATATCCCTTTGGTTAAAGGATCTTCCCAAACAAAAAGAAACACAACAGCAACAACAACAACAACAGAAGACGTCCTCTAAGAATCCATGCTTTGGAGTAAATATATATAAATATTTGTTGGAAAGAAATGACAGAATGAATTGTCTCCAAACTGGCATCCCTATACATTAGTTTTATATTCATTTGCTTACAATCTGAATTTTAAAAAAATACTGTAACCAACATTATGAGTTAGTCATAAAGACAAGCTCATGAAAGATATAAACATATCAAATGAAAAAATTTACAAAAATTTATTATGAATGATAAAGAGATAACTAGACTCTCTTATGGGAAAAAGTACATTCTTGCCTGTAAAATTTCAATAATTAAATTTGCCACAAACGTAAAGATTTGTGTGAGTGTTTTCACATCCAGCCTGCAGAATGAAGCTCCAATTCATATTTTCTGACTACATACAAAAATGAATCTTTTTATGATTCTGCAATGAGAACCTGTGATCCATAGAGCCAAGCACACTGAATGTACTTGATGGTTGGTTTTTAAATAAATAAGGGCTTGTATATATTGCAACATAATATACGGTGGACTGATAATGAACCAGAGCTCAATTAAGTTTCTTCTAAAAGTTGGGGTTACACATGCTTCTAGTACATTAAATTAGAAGTAATATGAAAATCAGGAGAAATGTCTCAGTTTCTGCTTCCATCTGGGAGAAAAACTGAGAGAAGAGAGCCCCATTCAAAACATCCCAATGTTTAAAACACCAAGCAGGGATGCAGGCATCACACAATTCCATGAGCTATCATCAATGAGACTTAGTGCTACCTTATGGTAAAAGCCAAATTTTGAGTGAGACGCATTTACAATGTTTCTGATTTATAAAAAGAAAGTCACAGAGAGAGGAAGGCAAAACAGAGCTACTTTTCTACTTGGATGTGGGACAGGAACGTGCATCAATGAGAAGTGTCACAAGCTCTGTAAAACTAGCTAAGGAAGGAAGAAACCAAAAGTTTATTAAGCTCCCTCTATGAGCCAGTCACTTTGCTAAGTGCTATTTCATTCAACTTTCCCATGATGCTGTGAGGCAGTGATGATTTTCTCCACTCTACAAAAGAGGAAGCTAAAGACGATAAGGTTTATCTGAAGTCACAGAGCCAGAAAGTGGCAGATTTCCAACACTGAGACCTACGGCCCTGACCATAAGGATTGGAAACCCAGCTCAGAGCACGTGTCCTAAACCATCATCTCTTTCCTTTAGCTCATTCTATGAGCTTTTCTAACTACATTAAACAAAAAGAACCACTGCCTTTTACAGTATAATTAGCTATGTAAATTGCCTCAGAGTTGGTAAGGACTTCTTGCGTTCAGATTTGAAATAGGCCATCTGATTGTCTATGTGATTAAATGTATAATGTCATTGAACATGTGACCCTCAGCATGTATCCCTTTCTTTAGACCAAGCTTGTCATCAATGGATATAAATTAAGATCAGTATTCTAAGTACTTTTGGCAAGATATTTTCCAGCTTGGGCTCCCTTTGCCTGGGGAGTATTTAACCACCTAAACTTCTACGATGGGTGCGGTATATAAAAATAGACAGTCACTGGAACAAAGGAATCAAAATGAATATTAGTTCTAGCCTGTCCCAAAGCCAGATTTTTGAAGAAAATAGGAATCGGACAGATTTTACATATACTGTCCCAGTTCATGTGCAATGTACCATCACTTTAAAGTACATCCAAACACAGTGTGTTGAAAGGCTATGAAAATTTTATTAACAAAGAAAATCAGCATGATACACATTGCCTATAAAAACAACCACCTCAAACATATAGGAAACACTGTGTTTTCTGTTCACTGCTTCATCAGTGCCAGGAAAGTGAAACCGCAACACCAAAGTACATACCAATGTTTTTGAAGGGGATAATCATCTGAGATAATAAAGTACTAGAAAATCAGAAGAAACAAGTCAATGTATTCATTTCACAGGCTGAACCAGAGCCTTCATCCAAATGAACATTTCCACTGTGAGTCCATGTACTTGCACATCAGCTCTTTTAAACATTATCCTGAATATACGGTGTCCATCTAAAAACATGATAGAGTTATTTGAGTGTAGTGAGAACTGAGAGTCAACATGATTCATAGAAATTTATGCCTACACAGCAATAGTCCAGAGATAATTCCTACAAAGTGTCAAGGTGTACTTGAGGATAGGATGTGATTGGCTTTTCAGGATTACTTTTAAGTTCCTTTCTGATTATCTTTAAATACTGTTCACTGCTGTCCCTCAGAATTTTCTTTGTTTACCTTCTCCCCTTCCCTTTACTAAAAATCTATAAACATATTCAAGATATGCTACATACAAGAGGGGAAGTACAGGAATAATAAAAGATTCTATTGCTCTGGACATGAATAGAGAACACACATATAATGGGTTCTCGCTGTCAGAGCAGCACATTGATGTGTGAGCTGGAAACCCCTCAAGAGAGGTTGTATAGAGTTTTAATCCAAAGAAGGAGCAAAGCTAGGCCTGTTAGTTGACTACAGTTTCTAGGGCCTGGTGTAGCTATATTTTTAGGCATGGCTCCCAGGAGCTGCCTACACAAATTTGGATGGAGCCAGGGAGGCACAGATGGTGGTCACGTGAAGGCACAGGCCGAATGCGTGGGCTCAGTTACAAAGTCTGTACATTCAGGCTGCTGTATTCCTCCTATTTCAAGTACTGCCAAGTCCAGGCTGTTCCCCCTCTTTCCAAACTCTTGATTCATTTAATTCTCCTGAAGGAGGTGGGAGAAGAGGAGGATTGCACGAATCTTACTGTCTTATGGTTTAGAGGAGACAGTCACCATCTTGGCTTCTTGTCAGATTTTAAATGTAGCATTTTGCTAAGTGTAAAGCTGTGTATCTGTTCCTTTTCTGTTGCAGTTATGGTATCTTCAATATTTGCAAAACATAAACTCAAAATACTTCAAATCAAGCCCAAAGCAGTTTGTTATTCATGCGACACAGTTTTTACACATATCAATACACAGTGAGTTCACAGAACAGGAATCTTCTCTTAGCTTCTTTCTTTCTTTTTCTTTTTCTTTCTCTCTCTCTCTTTTTTTTTTTTTTTTTGGCTCTTTTTACATTTTTTCCTTTCTTTGGGGATTTAACAATGATTGGATTACACAATAGTAAAATCTCCATTTTATATATACATATATATATATTTTTTCCCTCCTGATTATTATCAAGCTTGCTGCCATATCAGTTCTTACTGGTTGCATTATTTAGAAAGGGGAAGCCCATTAGCTAAAGTAGTCTACTATTTGAAATACCCTGTGAATCACTTGTAAAGCATACAGCACCTTAGTGTTGTGTAGAGTTCTAATTTTTAAATAAAAAAATCTGTAATTTTTGCTATAAAATGTTGTTAAAGGTATTCAGGGTGTGCTTCTGGTGGTGCTGGATTCATAGTAATTAGCATTTAAATACTAGTTTTTCACTCTTTAAAGAACAGCCTACAACATTTCAGATTCTCGGTCCTTTTCTTCTTTACATAGAAAACTGTCAAAATAAAAATGGAATCAATTATTGAGAATTTTTTTTAACAGAGCACCAAGTATTTTTCAGGCCATCATCAGGATGCGTGGCATTCTGTCGGTGTAATTTTTGTGTGTGATCAAACATCTGCTCCAGGGTTTTTTCCTCGAAGCTCTCCAATGTGCCTTCCTGGCTTGAGCTACTGGTCAGAAGGCCATTTTTAAAAGGCAAGTCATACATAAAAAGGTTTTAACATCTGTTAATCAGGTGTTCTATCTGGAGGATATAAAAGATGCTTACAATCCTCCAACTAACTCATTTAACATTTTTCTTTTTATTTGGGTATTTACATTGTGTAGGAATCAACACTATTATCACAATCAGTGGAATATTTCATCTATCTTCTAAGGCAAACAAGAAAATGTTTTTTAGGATAGAATTTCATGATTAGTAAAATATATAAGCAATGTGGAAAGGTAAATTAAACTCAATTATCTTGAATTTCTGCTTTCAGCAGAGCGTACTAAGAGAAAGCTTTGACAACATTTATGCTGCACGAATTTGCATTCTGAGCTCCTTCTTTAAAACATTGATATTGTTCCAAATTCAATAATAGCAGTAAGAGAGAAGAGCCCCACCAGAGGGAACTTGTGCTTTTTTATGTCAGTTACTTAAAAACAAAACAAAACAAAAACTACCCAAGTCAATGTGCATGTGCTCAAACAAGAACCTCAAAACATTCGTTTTAGTCTCTAGGTTGACTTTGCATACAAATCAATAGTAGGATTGCATATCGAAAACAGTTTCATGAATGAAACACATTGGCATCACCTAATCTTTCTCCAAAGTATTTAGCTGCCAAGAGAATACTTTACAACATATCACAAATGTGCTATTTGTATAAACATTCCTGTTACAAATGCTCTTTGTTTTTCATTTAAATGAGTATTTTTAACCTGAGCTATTAATAAAAAAATGTTTTTTCTCCCTTGTAAAGCTTGGCTTTCAGAAGAAACAATATTTAAGCCTCTTCTCTTGTGAGAGTCATGTCTCCTAATACTGACTGTGCTACATAAGTACAACCAGGGCTCATTAAGTAGACTTCTGAGCATAATTATAATTAACAATTAGCTAGAAATTGGTTTTAATGATTTGTTTTAGATGATAGAACAGAAGCATAATGTAATTATTTTAAACCGTCTACATCATTAAGAATACCGCTATTACCAACTTTCAATTATTGAGACGCAGACAATCACCCGAAGCGTTTAGTAAGGGATCCGCTTCCAGAGCTTCCAGCCAAGGGAGCTGAGGAGGAGAGGCCGCTGCCCCAGCCCAGGTGCTCATAATTATTTACTCTTTCACAAAGTCTCTTCCTTTTCTATTCTGCTCTTTTAACTTGTTTCATGGCTTGAAGACATCTCCACCAGGGAAAAGAGAGAGTCAGCCTGGTTGTTGAGCGCTGTTGCTACTCCCTGACTTTTCCAAGACTTGGTGAGGCTGTCCTGGTGGGAGGGAGGAGGGCCTGGAAAAGCCTCTACAAAATTTAGCAAGTGGGCCTGAAATGCTCATTCACACCAGCAAACTAGACTAACAGGAAAGATTATAAAAGTAACGGATAAAATGAATATTAGGAATAAACTTCAGACTGTAAAGATAAATCTATGCTATTCATTCCCTATTTCGGGTCCTTTCCATAGCCCGAAGTCCATCTGGATCTTACTTTTCTCATAAGAATTTGTACAAAATACAATAGAAATGTGAAGAAATGTTCTTTCATGTCCTGAAAAATATAAAAATATTCATTTAGTACATTGACTATTAGTTATTGTTAGTTTTTTCTTTCTTCCTTTTCTCTTTTCTTGTCCTCCCTTCCTTTTTTTTATTTTTTATTTTTTTAACCTCAGCTAGTCAGTGTGCTGTTTTCTCTCCCACCTTTGAGGGAGAATGTTAGACCTTCTGCTGCTGGCCTTCAGACGCTGTTAGGGAGTACATCCTGTCACCCACATAAAAGACCTGGTACCTGTGTTTCCACATCACAAAGCAGGCCAACAAGCACACAAGGCCACAGACCAAATTAAGAATCATCTGGGTGAGTAAGAAGAGTTTGAAAGTGCCAGTGATGCTGGTACAGTCAGTCACATCCCGGTACACAAAGGTCCTGCTGAGGGGCTCCGAGGAGGGCAGCTTGCAGTGGCAGGAGTTGGGTGCGGTTCCACAGGTGACCTGGGCGAGCTGTGAATAGTGATGGGCAGCGAACGCTGCGGCCAGGACACAGACCATCAAGCCGAGGGCGCTCAGCAAAAAGTACAACAGCTGCAAGAAAGAAGAAGACCTGTCCAGTTACAAAGTGCGTTGAATGACTATTGAGAAAGCTAATTAATAAAAGCTGTTCTTTTTCTTCTCTCCCCAGAAGTTCCCTGGTAGAGGGCTGTCCCTCCTCAGAAAACGTAGTACCCAAGACATGGAAATGGCTCTGTGTTTATTGGTCAGCGAACAATACTTGAACATGGATCATATTTTTATTTTCCAGAGAGATGTTGGGTGCTTTTCATGACCTGAGCCAACAATATTAGCTTGATGGTGGGATGTCTGTGTATGGATGTTGTAGCAGGCAGCTTAGATAAATCCCAAATACAAGAGCCACTGTAAAAGGCATGCTGTGCTTGTTTTGATCTCAAGAACTGATGATATAAAAATTGAAAAAAGACTAGAAAGTAAAGAACACATTTCTGCAATATAAATACTGAGTCAGCCAAAACCGGCAACGAATGGTGAGCAAGAAACATAGGTTATTAAAAAATATTATATTCAACATACTGTTGCCGAACTGTGTCCATGAATGCCAAGGTCCCCGGGAAGTAGTTGCTGGAAGAAAAAAAATTATGGCTCCAGAAGGTAGGTGACTTGATGTTTACTTCATCACCTACAAGTCTCATCCTAAATCCAACTGTAACTATGTCGTTTCTGAGCATGAAAATAAACTCTAAATTGTCCCTCAGCCACCAAGTTGAACACTGTTGGCCTGCACATTAGCCTTGGGATGGAAAAGTCTTGTTAAAGTTTTAACTCTGCTGTTAAGGAAATGTGGAATCCCAGAACAATTCAAACATTTAGCGTACGCCTGAACTATTTTGATCAAAAATTGTGAGGATTCATTGACCTGCCCACAATAAAAACCATTTCATAGAACAAAAAATGTTCTTGTAATTGATCTCATTAATTGGACACATTTCTCTTAATGGTTCTGCCTACTGAGGGTCTAAATAAGGAAAAGAGTCTCTAGCTTTTGGGACTAGTATACGTAACAAGAGTGCAAGATTTATATTGCTATAGTTAAAACTTGTTCCTTACAAGGAGCAGTTCCGGTGAATGTGAACTCCCCAAAGTAAAATTAGTTCCAATCGTGTCTAGGTTCAAATTAAAGTAGCTCTAGGAATATTTTGCCCTCTCCCCACCTCTAATAATATGTAATTCAAATAAAAAACATACATATATGATTTTGTGGACAAAAGTCCTCCAAATGAGTGATTTTCCACAAGTTAACAATTTCAAGCTTTTCCAAGTCTTAACGATAGAATACTTAAACATTTATTTTTTTCTTTGAGTGGTGTGGGGGGTGTGTGTGCCTATACACACATGTGGTTGCTGGTGCCCTAAGCATGTGCCTGGTTTTGCCCACAAGTTTGACTGCACATCTGAGTGCACAGAAAGACAGTAGGTAACACCATTTTGTCTTACAATGAACGGACAACCAAGGATTGCAGGGAGTCTTTGGATCGTCTCATCAAAGCTATCTTAACCGTATACTCTATTTTTAATCTTCCAATCATTTGAGGAAATATCTCATATAACCCATGTCTTTCCACCTGTGAAACAGTTTATTGAAACATCTCATACCTCAAGGATATAACAAGAGTAACTTATACTAAGCATGTTTAGTATCCCTGGGGGAAAGGGAACGAGATAAATACAAAATTTAAGAAGGCAATATTTAATTTGTGTTATTACAAGCCATTGCCCTGGCCCTACCCCCAAGGTTTTCAGTGGCCATATTTTCTGCAAACACTGGCATGCTTAGGCTAAAAAAGTATGGGTCTATTTTGAGGGGCCGCTGGGGCAGAATATTCTAAATATTCGGGGTTGATCTGGAATACTCGGGCTTGAGGCCTGACTTCAAACTCTTGGTGCCAGAAGCCAAATTAAACTGAGCTGGCCATGCTGGTGTGTGTGCCCATCGGGGCTGCCTTTCCAAAGCCACCCACACAGAACTTGGAATTATTTGCTCTGGGAACATGGGTACATCTACAACTCCACCAGCAGGGAAGGCCCAAATTAAAGGGATAATCTCCCACCCGAGAGTCATCTACTTAGTAGAACGGTCCCAAATGGAGTTTTCTCTGCACATTTTATTGCCATCAATGGATGGAACTGGGGAGTGCATGGGTCTTGTAATAACCTTTCTACCTCCCAGACACACGCACGCATCTTTGGATAGCAGATTTCTACAGCATCCTTTGGGGCAATATCTAGAATTAACTAAAATAATCCCTCACTCTCAATCTGTAAATAATTCAAGTAGTTGCAAAAATATTATTGTCGTAATAATCATCACAAAAATTCATTTGCCAAAATGAGAAAACCGCGTCTATTTTAAAAAGATGAGCTTTGGCACAGGGGTCAAAAGATTTGCCCAAGACATATAATAACCGTATAGCAGTACTGGGGGATGGTTAAGAGCACGGACCAGAGCACCGACTTCCTGAGTTCAAATCCTGGTTCTTTCCTCACTGGCTTTGGATCTTGGGCATAGTAAGCAATCCCATGAGTATCTCTGGGTCTTCATTTGTAAACTTGGAATGATGATCATGATACAGGATTGTTATAAGGATCAAAAGAGTTGATATCTGTAAAGGGCTTAGAATAGTGTTTGATACATAGTAGCACTGTTTTAAGTATTTGCGGAAAAAATAAACAAACTAGTAGAGATGCGAAAAACTGTCCCATCTCAGGACTCAGGCTATCAGCTCCACTGGCTTTGTCTTATTCTCTGTCTTGTGGGAGTAACAATGCAAATTTAGCTTATAGAAAGGATGTAAACATTTACACAAACACGGAGATTGCTCAGTTTTAACTGGGCATCTTAAACGTGCTAGAAGCCAGGGAGAGCGCAATCAAAAGCCACGCCCCTTACCATTTTCAATGGTGCATATCTCACACATTGCAATTCTGCTTCTCCCACTCCACGAAAGCATCCGGCCAAGTAAACAGGAGGGAGCCACAGAATCAAGTTTATTATTCATTTTAAGACATAAATATGTCTTGATCCCCCAAAGTCTGTGGGCTACATCTGCAGCGCTGTAGCATTTTTCCTTCGTGGCTTTAGCTCATCTGACAGCAACGGGCTTCTGGGTTAGAATCTGTAATTTAAAATCAAGCGGCTTGTTTTACCTACCCAGCATGAATAAACTGCCAATGAAAGAGTTTACGATGACCTTGGGAATGCGAGCAAATATATCTTGATAAAAGCCTTGCTGGGCAGCGGGCGGGCGGAGGCTCGGCGGCCCCAGGCGCTTATGTAACCCAACGCCCAGGCGCCGCTGCGCGCGCTCGCTGCCTCTAATTTGTACCCGGCTGCAGCTTCAACGTTCGGTGTGACTCCGGGAGGAGGGCGGTTCGGCTTCGATTTAATTACCTTCCCGGTGGAAGGCAGGAGACGACAGCTGCAGCCTAGGGGCCTCCTGGATGAGGGAGCGAGGCAATTGCGCCTTAAATGAATGCCCTTGTGGGGAATGTGCCCCGGAGTGCTTCTGCAAGCACATGAGCCGGACACGTTTCTGAAAACCATCGAGGTGAGCCCCTAGAAAGGCGGGCCGCAGGAAAGGCAGGAGGCCCAATCCCCGGAGGGATGGCCTGCCAAGCCCAGGGGCAGAACCCCGGGAGAAAGAAGGAACGTGCTGCTGGCGTCCAGCGCCTGCCAACGCACCGGGAGGAGACTGTGCAATCTTGAGATGAAAAGACAAGCCCCCGTGGCTATTGTCTCTTAAGAAAAAGTGCGTGTTTGTGCAGGCTACAGTAAGATGTCATCATCACCTGATTGCTTGCCTTGGCGATCAGCCTCTTCAATAGCAGGAAATAAATTCTCAAAGCTGAGGCCAGGGTTTCAATTCGGGGCACTAAAATATGGTTATGCTAGTGAGAAACACCACCTGAAGATGTATTTCACTCCTTCCCCGTAAAATGGTGTGAAAAGAACAAGGCAAGTCGGCTGTAACCTGTTGTGCCTTTGGGAAACCTTGAGAATGACTGAAGTTCGTTTTCTGACTGAAGATAATATAGCGGGCATCTTAGAGAGCTGGCAGGAAGCATCACCAAAGGTCACATGCAGGAGAGAAGTGCCTCAGTGTTTGTCAATGTCTATCCCAGGTGGGGGGCGGGGGGGGGGAGGGGAAGAAAGCTAATGAGATGTTCCTGGTGGGGAATTCTCAACCTGGCTGACATTGGCAGTGACTTATTTTTTTCCCTCGCTCCTTATTTTACTGGCAGATGTTGAGGCGGCTTTTGGGGCCTCTGTGAAGCTGATGCTTTTGCCTCTTGTTCCTAGGATCATCTGAGGGAGGAAATGAAGGCCTTTCACAGACATTAATGAATCTAATTTAGAGCATTTTTCACCTGGTGAATGAAGTTGTAATTTAACAGACCATTTCGTACTTGGCTTCCTGGCCTTTTTTTTTTTTTTTAAATCATTGCCAAACTTTGCCTTAATAAAACAAACAAACAAACAACAACAAAGAATAAACATGGACTGATGTCTGCTTTATCTGGCCTTCTTTTAAGGAACACCCTCAGAAAAAGTAAAATTTCCAAATGTGGGCATATTCTTACTATCATTTTTTAAATAGCTCCTGTTAATTTTTTCTTAATTAGAAAAGTTACGTCTAACTGAATAACATCTCAAAACTAGAGAAAAAACTACAAAATGCAGCTATAATCCCATCACTCACAGATAACTATTTTTTCCTAAGTACATAGAGCTATTTTCTTTCTGTAGGATCATGCCACACATTTTTGTGTAGCCAGCTTTTTTGTTACTTAATGTAATGTGAACATTTTTATTCTAATAATTACCTTTACAACATTATATATGTATATATATTAATACTTTTCTATGTCAACAGCTTCTAGTTATACTAGAATATACTAACATCTTATTTTCTGCATCTTTGTAATTTCCAAATAATATAGTTAACTTACTTTTGTGCCTTCTGTTTTCCTGTTTTAGTGAACAAAGGACTGTCTAGTTTTTATGTCTTCTCTTGTAGAAGAAAAGTAAATGATATGAGTGGACAAAAGACAAACAAACAAACAAAAACCCCACTACAGAAAGCTTTTTGTTCTCTGCTACAGTAGTTGAAAGAAAATGTAGGAATTTGATTTCTACTAGCTCTGATTGCTAAGTTGGAGGGTGTTCATCTCCCTAAACTCTGAAAGGGTGCACCTTTGGAGTAGATTCTATGTGCAGTGGAAATGCTGTGTGCTTGAATGGGCTCCAACTGAGCACACTGTCTCTAACAGAGAAAAACTGCATGCACGTAAAAGATGCACACATGCTAAACCCCGCACATCCCAGCGCTTGCCCCCTTTGCTCTCAGACGCTTGGCACAGATCATTTGGATGCACCCAATGTACCTTTTCTGTCTCAGCGATCCCACCTACATGAGGAAATGCACTTAGACTGCTTCATTATTAAAATATGTGAAATAACCCCCAAGATATGGAAGTCGGCACTGATATAGGCATCTTTTCCCTGGCAAAGGGTTTGTTGAACTGATGAATTTTCAATATTCCTTTTAAGGACATGGAAAGACAGACTTCATATGCTTCATGCCAACCCAGTTCACAGAAATCAAGACTTTAAAAAAAAATTAGCGTTACATGTGGAGTCTGGATGAATGCCCTCCTAAAATATTTTTTGGCCTGCCTAAAAATGCAATTTCTGGGATAATCAGATATGCAGCCCCTTAAAAAAAGCACTCCTTTATTTTGTACTTGTGTTTCTTTCTATGTGGTGATAAAGGAAAAAGAAAAATGACAACTTACTTTCATAGCAAACTGGATACATGTCTTTTCGTCAACTTGATATGAGACACAAAGCATAAACAAACCGAGATAGGCCACTAAGCAGACCTGCAACGGAGAACAGGCAGGAGAGGATGTGGTCAGGGCAAGCTGAGCATTCGAATGGCATCAATCACAGTGTCTTCCTCCAGTAATACCCTTGTTATCAAGGTGCTCATTTCATTACTTATCTTTATTTGCTATTTTTCTCAGTTTTAAAAATAGTAAAAATCAAATTATTTCAATTTAGCCAGTGTTTATTAAGTCCTTTCGATGTGCCACGTGTTATACAAAATCCTTCAGAGTATCCAATGATGAATAAAAGTTCCTCAGCCTCAATAAGCGTCCAGTCCCGTCCAGGCCGAGATAAGTGCACACACTATTCTGAAGCAAGGCATTATATGTCAGGTGGTATTCAGAGGTGCTCAGAAAGAGGGGGGAAAAAGCATTAAGTTGGGCAATTAAAAAAGGTAGATTTGAAAGGGTCCTTGAAAGGAATGATGATAATAATCGTGATCACTAATGTTTACTGAATACTTACTTTGTGCTGGGGCTCTGGATTTCTTCATATAATTATCACAAACCCTTATTAAGTAGGTGCTATTATGATCTTCATAACATAAACAAAGACACAGAAGCACAAAGCTAGTAAGCAATGGAACCAGCGCTGAAACCAGGTAGCTTGAGTGAGACAGCATGAGCAGCAGTGCAAAGGCAGGGCTGCACGAATTGTGTGGAAAGAACAGCCAGTTTGTACCTGAAATTGAAATAACAAACTATAGAGCTCCCTGGAAAAAAATACTAAAATATAGAACTACCAGAAAAGCCAGGTTGAAAATGTGGCATTGTAGGAGTTACTTAGTAAGTGGAGGGGCTCTCTTGAAAATTTTTTGAGCAGGAAAATGACATGATTCAAGCCACATGCTAGGCCCTGGACCAGTAGCTCAGTTGGTTAGAGCATTGTCCTGATGCACCAAGGTTGCCGGTTAATCCCCGGTCAGGGCACATAAAAGAATCAACTAATGAAAGCATAAGTAAATGGAAAAAACCAATTGGTATTTCTCTCTCTCTTCACTCCACTCCCTCTTCTTCCCCCTCCCCCTCTCTCTCAAATCAGTAAATAAAGAAGTTTCTTCTTTTAAAAGAAAAAAGACATATAATGGTGTGGGGATTGCCAGAGGGAGTAGTGGGGGCTGGGTGGAGGGGAACAAGATAAAAAAATTGGGACAACTGTAATAGCATAAACAATAAAATATTTTTTTTTAAAGACATGTTTCAGGAAAGTAAGCCGCAGTGTCAGATGGGTTGGCAGTGAGAACATCAGGATATTATTTTACTAATCAAAGCAAGATTAACATACCAGGTGGGCCAGTGCTCAGTTGGGGGGAGGCAAAGTCAGAGAAAGAGGCAGAATGGAAAAGTGTAGCCAAAGCAGAATCTGTACATCCTGGCTGTAGCATGGTGGAAGGGAGGACGCTGGAGAGGGAGAGCTAGAAAGCGATTTCCAAGTTTTTGAGCATCAGTGATGGAAAGAGAGGGGATGTGACCAGCTGGAAGAAGGATGGAAGGAGGAATGGCAACTTTGAGGAAAAAAGACACTACGCTGGTTAGTCAAATCAGATTTTCTTCCTTTCTTCTTCTTTTTTTTAACTGTGGTGTAGAGTTTCTAATCAAAGCATATCTATTCACACTCAATTTTGGAAACCCTAAAATGTTGCTAAGTTCCACTTTAAGATAGAAAATGTAAGCAACAATGTTGCATTTTGAGATAAGTACAATTTTCTTGAAGATGTTGGAAGGGTGACTGAGGGTCATCCAGCAAGTCATTAAATGACTGGTTTGGTGATGTTCATCATTCGTGCCCGAGGCCAGCTTCAAACACAAAAGACCATCCCTGCCAGCTAGTAGAGCTTTTTACTTACAAGCAAACATAGTGTTTTAAGGTAACACCTCTATCCTATTCTCCCCTTGATTATAAAATCAGTAAGTTGCTTGTGCCCTTTTGGGTTCCCAAGTCCAGAGCTTGTCAGCTTTCTTCTGGGCCATGAAGCTGAAAGCCAAGCCTTCTTTAGGGGAGGTTATTTGCAAGGTTTTCCCTCAGGACTGCTGCACGGCCTAATAGCAATATGTAGATAGCATTCCCAGTGGAGAGGCTCAGACTGAAAAGATGTGAGCACGGCAGGGACTGGAGAAGTCTGGGTAGAAAGCAAAGCAGATAGGACACAAGGAGGCAGGTTTTCAGCAGAGGACTGGAAGATTTGGAAATAATGATACTGAAGTTGTTTGCGTAGCCCACAACCTGGCTGATGTTTCCAAGTCAGGGATGCATACTTACTCAAAACTCATTTTTAAAAGATACCTAATTGAGGTATAAGCTCGATAAGGACTATAAGGACCTACTATGTGTTCTCACATTAAGAATTTACAGAACAGAAACAATGGAAAAAAGATCTCTTTTTTGTTTATTGGCAACCAACCAGATGGAGGCTTCTAAAGCCGTTTCTATGGGGATTGTTGAACCTCTAAGCACATGCCTGTGCTCCCTGCTAGTGTCCATCTGCAGGTGCACAAGGTCAGGCTCTCTCCCATGTAATTGTCTTTGTCCCCCAAGGCTGCTGTGCTAAAGTTGACAATTGCCAAGACTTTTTTCCTTGTATTTATGAAAGATACATTCCAATTATTGGGCCTCACTGACTAACATCTTAGAAATCCGACTCTGTGCCTTGCTTGAACAAATTTTCCCACTTCAGTAGAAGCTACTCCTTTGTAGCCTTAACCTAGGCTGGTTTCCAGCAAGAAGTCGTACAGGAGCATGTGACCTCATTGTAGAGGATTTCACTTAGTCAACAGACTGAACTTTTTTGAGGACATTCAATAGCCAGACCCTGTGCACGGCTCTGGGAATTGAGAAGTGAAAAAACAGTCTGAGTCTTTGAGAAGCACTAAGTGGGGAAAGAGAGGAGACTGAAGTTACAATACTGTGTAAGTACTAGAACCCTGTTCATTGTAATATACAGAGTGGGTGATTAACCGAAGGATAACTTGGGGGACTTCCAGGAGGAAGATGGGTTGTGAAGGGTAAGAAGAAATGAGCTGGGAGAAGGAGCTGAGGAGAGTAGAGAGAGTGATAATAGATAGAAAAGCATGGAGAAAACACAGGACAAACATTCAAAGACTTCCACAGCTCCAGTTCAGAGGATGAGAGAAGAAGAAGGAAAAGATATGCTCACAGAGATGGACAGGAAGCAGGGCACAGAGGGCTTTTATTTCATTTGGAGCAGGGGGAGGGTGTGACCAACTTTGCCTTTTCAAATGGTCCTTCTGGCTGTGAAGAATGGATTGGGAAGGGAAGACCAGCTAGGAGGTTGCTCATCTATGGAGAAATGATGAGGCCCTAGGTCAGGTAGAAGTAGGGACAGAGAGTGGGTGTGCTTGAGTGGTTCTAGGGGCGGGCGAGACATGAGGGCTAAAGGAAAGGGAGGGGTCAGAAAGGTGCTAGCTACTTGACTTGAGCTGCCAAGTGGATGGTATTTACAATGAATAAGACATGAGATACAAGAGGAGGAGGAGAATTGGGAGTGGAAAAGGATGATGCCCACATGGATTCAGAGCTCAGCCACATGGGCCTAGAACTCAGGAAAGAGGCCTGTGCTGGAGAGAAGCATTCATTAGTCATCAGCATATGTGAAGCAATGGAAATCGTCGGAAAGGCTGCACCATCCAGAGAGTCTAGTGAAGACAGAAAAGGGCCAAGGAAGTTACCCAGTTATGGAGAACCTTTGACTCTTTTCAACAGAAAGCCCCTCAAACACACCTGTTATACTTTTGGTGGTACACCGTGACATGTCTAAATACTATGAAACTGATCATCCTTTTGGACTTCTGAAAGTTTCACTTCTAGGTCTTTGTGTAGGTTATTTTCTATAAAGTCTGATTAATTCAACATATTGCAATTTCTCAGCTTTCTTCTAGGGCTCTACAGGATATAGGAGTGGGTATTTCATTTTCTTACCTACAGCTTTGTGTGATAAAGCAATCCTTCTTTATCAGAGGGTTTGTTGGGGGTTGCAGGTAAGTACCTTCTAGAAGAGTAGTATTTATTGAATACTTAAAAATGAAGTCTTTATGGTCCTGGGGAGGAAATCAGATTTCTCACACCAGACTAAGGGTCTTGTTTCCTGAGATGGCTGGACTTGGATGCACGAGGAAGACAGGGTGTTCTGTCTTCCCAGGCAGGGGAGGGAGAGAGAGCTCATGGGAATGAGCCATGACATCTGCCAGGCCTATCTGGAGCAACGTTCCTGGATTCTGGGCCAGAGCTCCCATTAGGTATGGTGAGGTGAGGCCCATGGAACAGGAAAAAGGCAGTTATGTAAGGTTTCCAAGAAGGCATTTGTTGGACCAGTCCTGGGGCAGACAGGTGGTATCACTGAGCCCAAAGCCAATGTGGACTGGGTGACATTAGGAACACTAGTGCTAGAAGGGTTGCTAGCCTTTAGGAGTTTGCTAAGCTTTAAGTTCATGTACAGATGCATAATTAGGTTGCAAAGAAAAACTTGATGTGTTTTTTAATAGAAAAGAGAAAATGACAATCGCCATCATTTTTAGCCTATTTTTGGCTGCACGTTTCTGACAATTTGTTTAGTGTCAAAACCTAAGTCTCAAATTCTACGTTCTGTCTACAGATATTCTTTGTCTTCTCAGAGTGAAGATTGCATTCTCTCTAGAGTTAGAAAGTTAAACAGATTTGAAATGTTCTCTGAATGTTAAATCCATTTCTAGATGTTCAAGTTCTGAGTCTTGTCACACATTGTCTTTGTTTTCATATTTGGCCTATTGTACCTACAGTGGTGTTTTTGGGGGGTTGGTGTTATGAATAAAAGGTGAATGCTATACCAGCGTCTTGGAGATTTACTTACATATTATTTTTTCTTTTTTCATTTTGGCCAAGCTAGAAGGTATCATCCTTAAATATTTTGTGATATTTTGTGTTATTTACTTCTCTCAGTGTCATATGTATTTATATTCTGGTCTTGTGACATTCACACAACCTCCAATTTATTTGTTTT